TCTCCCATTTGTACCTGGAAGACTGCGAATGTAGATGAAGTCCGTGTACAAGGTCAGAAGTTGGCAGGATATATTGCGCGAAAAAGATCAGACAGAGGTCCAAAACCAGAGTTGTGCAAGTTGGTTAAAGATCAGACCATTTTTGGTAGAAATTGGGACGTAGGAACTGGAAATACGGTCCGTGGAACATTTGATCTCAACCAGGAGGGGGAACTGTATGAGCGGTTGCAAATGTATTTACTGAGAAACGGAATGTGCATCTTTGCCCTGCCTGATACAACCACCTTGGTCATCCAGCATGGAGAGTACTTTGCTCTTGTGGATTTTGGGACACGGAATTCAGAGGGTTTAGCGTCACAATCTGGTACGCCCGTCGTCGTATTTAACACGTGTTTAAATGATTTAATGGTTCACTTGAACAAACTTAGGGAATCATTAAATGCAACCGAGTATAAACTCTGCGGCATTTCTGTCGAAGAAATGTCCAGTAATACGGACACATCCGGAGCACTGACTGAGGACACGCATGCCACAGATGCAAGCCAAGCTTCCAGTAGCCATGTTGCATCAGTCAGTGGGTCATTTCAACCGGGCGATCCTCGTTTTACATATGGTGGACTACAGTGTGCAGCCATTAGTCTTGTTGCTTTAACAAAGCACAAACTGAAAAGCGTTTGTTCGTGGAATGGTGACATATTGGACAATGTAGTGACTGTAGGTGATGAGCTGTACACATCTTTGCATGACAGCAATTTAATCAGTAGTGGACATGAGCTTCTTTCTATTCCAGACTTGCCTAAAAATATTCATGTTGATGGACAGCATTTTGAATGTTTTTATGGAGATTATGTTTCTGGAGATGTTGATATAGTGGAAGGACAGTTAATCGAGGAGGGTGTGCTTACTACTCTCTGGGATGGATTGAGGAAGATCTGTGGTAAGTATGAAACCTGCTTTATGACACTTTGTGGAAGTACCTGCGCCCTCATCCGACATAATCGACGTTTTGCTCTTGTAGACTCCCATGCAAGAAACCAACACGGGATGATGGATGCAAATGGAAAGAGCGTTCTTCTCCACTTTAATTCTCTTGATGATGTCTTTGCACATCTTACAATGTTTTCTGGTGAACTGAATCTCTGTCCCAGGCGATTTGAGATCAGTGGAGTTGAAATAGTTCACATTGACTCAAGTAGCAGCACATGTAAACATGTAGCTGCTGTGCCAAGTAGCAGTGCTCCTTTTGAACAGAGCAGTGTTGACATGCAGGACGATTCCTATGAAGAACTTCAAACATCAAACAGGGATGATGATGTGGTTGTTACTCATGTGCAAAATAAGGAATTGCATTTTAACCCTCTCTCGGAAGACATTGCACGGTCACTTTGTGGAAAGNTNAANGTTGAGTTTGAACGGGCAAATTCTAAATCTTGTATGGTTGGTGAACTCGGTCTACCATGTGCGACAGAAAACATCGTGGGCGATGGAAACTGCTTTTTTAGAGCACTTAGTCAAGCCATCAGTGGAAATCAGAAATCTCATCGTAAAATTAGGCTTGCTGTTGTAAATCAGTTACAAAGAAATTCTCACTTGTATGATAGTATTTTGAGAAGTGAGTATTCCTCCATCTCACAATATATTGCCATTTCTAGAATGAATTATGTTGGTGCGTGGGCGACTGAATTGGAAATTCAAGCTGCAGCTGATTATTTTGGTGTAAATATTTTCACATTTTTCAATGATAAATGGCTTGAATACAGTTCTCAGAGCAGTTTCTCTAATCACGGGATGTATTTGTAAAACATTAGTGGAAATCATTATGAGACGGTTGTTTGTGTTAAGCTGCCTAACTCACAAACATGTTATAATTATTGCATGAATACAGTTTTTTCAGGGGGACATAAAACTCGGCCATCTACAACAGAACCAAAAACTGCGCAGATAATGACGGTGAAAACTGAGAGTTCCATTGAAGACGAGTCTGTCGGTATTTTACAAGATAACGAAAATACTTTACTGTTTACTCCCCTTTCTGAACTTAATGCTAAAACTCTTTGTAAGAACTTAAAAATCGACTTTGAAGAACATAGTTTCCAAAAAGTAATTTTGCGTGGTCCTTTGGGAAATGTGTGTAAGATTAAAAATATTGTAAATGACGGTAACAGTTTTTTCAGAGCTGTAGCCTATGCACTTAGTGGTTCTGAGAAAAATCACCGTAAAATTAGACTTGCTGTTGTTTCACACATGACCAATAATAGAGAAGAATGCGAAAAATTGTTAACTAAAGATTTTGCTTCTGTGACAGAATACGTTAACCAGTCACAGATTAAGTATGTGGGTCACTGTGCGACGGAAATTGAGTTTAAATCTGCCGCTAATATGTTAGGATTGGTTTTTTATGTATTTAACAGCACACAGTGGACCAAATATAATTCAAACAGTAGACATTTGACCAATGAAGCTATATATTTGCAGAACTGTGATGGTCATTTTGATGCCATTATTTGTGCAAAGCAGGGTGATAAAGACTCTTGCTTTGAATTTTGTGAAGAACAT